TTATGGTGGGATCGAACTATTAATATTTTCATGCGCTTTCATACGATTGTAAAGTTTTTACAACAGGCCCAAATTAAGCACAGATTCTTGAAGGCCATGGGTTGGTGTTCCAAGAGATTTCTACAAATCACATATACAAGTATTATGGGATCCTACTAAACCCAGTTTCTTCATATCTATTAAATTTGCTTACGTTTAAAAACCATGCATTCAACCTATTAGAGGGAGAGCCACTATCAATCGATTAACGCCATTTTTCCGAAAGTGATATAGACAGCATCTTCCCTAAAACTTCAGTTTACTCATTTCTTGACCAAAAGCTTATTATTTAAATATTGAATGAATAATCGAATATCAAACCCCGTTTTTTTTTCTTCAGATGTCTGCCGAGGCTTCAAAAAAAGTTCAATCAGATGATCCCAGTCTGTCTCAATCTGCCTCAAAACTGCTATACCTATCCGATAATTTGACGGAATGGACATCACCTTTGGAAACTGATCGAATTCTTCATTCCACTTCACCAGACATTTCCAGCAGACTGATGCGAGGAATTTTAACTTTGGGTACTCTCAGAACTACAGATTCCGACGTTACAGTTATGGATTCTAAAAAGGCTGACAAGAGGGATGCTTTTGAGGATGAACTCCAGAGTAGTGACAGACAGGATAAACTTAAAGTCAATATTGCAGGAACTACTGGCTCTTTACTCTGGCAATCCGCTAAAGCCCTTATAGCCTACTTAGGGAAACCACCTAAAGCAATCCATAGTTACTGTCAAATCAGAGGAACTGGATTTGCTTGTCAAGCTGTCTCATTCACCCCCTTTGACTATCCTAACTCTCAGCTGTTGTGTGTGCTCAGCCTTAGTCGGTTGGAGTTTTTTGAGACATCAGACAACTCCGATACCACCAGTGAAGAGATTGGTGAATTGTCTGAAGATATCGACGACAAGTATGCCTTGTCACCTGAAGCTACTGACGATAAGCACTTGGTTTCCAAGCCTTCCTTTACTAGGTGTTGGTCCTTAAGTCACATCGACCCTATGCCGCATTGGCGATGCCTCGCCGTTTCTAAGACTAGTGAAGATCTTCCGATGCCCGTAATAGCTATTGGCTATAGCAATGGGTCCATTGAACTAATAAACTCTGGCATACAGGAACAGACCGAGACCGACGATGCAGCTTTGTATCCAGATGCCTCGCTTAGACGATCCCGCATTCATTTGCCCTGTTCAACAGAACTTATTGCAAAAAATCTTGTCAATTTTGACGCCTCTTCCCTGCTCCCTTTAGCCTCTTTAGACTTCATTGATCAGGACCATCTGCTAGTAGTTCATATATCCGGATTTCTGCATATCTGGAAGTTGGACTGGTCTTCAAAGCGCTTTCCAATTCGGCTTCTAGTTAATCGTCTCATTGGGCAAACTCAGCACCCAGTCTTGGCTGCAGCATACGACTCTGAATCTAAGTTTTTTGTGTATTCAACCTTGGTGAATTGGCCGTTTGACACTAGACTCCACACCAAAATTTCCTCGGAAGCTTTTTCGCGACATGGTCTTTATCTGTATTGTATTTCGGTCGATCCACCCCACCTGAAACCCAGTGCTCCAATCCATTCTACGGCCGGAGACCTTGTAGATTACTCAGCAGATGATCGCTGGCTGTTCTCTAAAGTCATGTCCAATCTTTTATTTCTCTCTGGCCGTCTAGTCTCGAGCTTGCTCTCAAGTCAAAGCTCAATGCGTGCTGCTGATCCACATACAGATGCCATCGTTATGCTCCGCCTGACTAGGCCGTTTTCAGACGGTTCCAGTGGTACCAGTCTTCTTGCCGGTGGGCTGCATTGCAGTGGCGCTGTGTCTGTCTGGCGTCTACCGAGCTGTGAACCCCTTTTGCTTCTAGCCGCACCTCTTTCAAAACTCACTGCTGACTGGCCTAGACCGCTAGCTGCCGACTCTGCCTATTGCCTAGCCTGGTGGACACGACGTCATATGCCCACACAAAATACGGACTTCCTGTTAGCTCTGCTACAAGTAGGAGGTCTTCTCACCATTTTGGATTTAACCGGTCTTAAAAATCAGCTTACTTCAGTGTGCGACCGGAAGCTTGATTGTCAGACTGGCCGAGAAGATGATAAAGGAGATTGTTTTAATTTAGTGGCTGACGAGAAGGAAAAAGATGTCCCAGGCCTCCAGCTCCAGAGATACTCGCGCTTCATAAAACATGTTGATTTGTCGGAATGTCGATACCAGAGAACCGATAAGACCTTGTTGACAGTCGATTCTTGCGGCCTTGGTGGAGGTAATGTTATAGTGCTGCAATGCCTAGAAATCAACCCAATGGCTATGAGGCCTCCAAAAGAGTCATCGCTGGAAGAGACTGCAGCTCCAGAAGCATCACTTTCCAATATCTCTTTTGGTGCCAAATTGTTTATACGTTTTATCCGCCTTCTTGAGCCGCTTCTCATTCGAATCAGGCTGCCCAGGCAGCAACTTCTCAGGTTAACCGGTTTACCTCCTTCTTTGTTGAAAAAATCCTTGGTCAATCCTATTTCGTGCGATTTGAAAGGCACTTCATCCAGCCCAATGACTGACACTGATCCCGTCCTAGGTGAGTTTACTATCGTTCGGCTTGCGGCTACCACATCAGAAGGCTTATTTCAACACTGTCTCCGTGCTGGAGAGTTCGCTGAAGCCTTTGCCATTGCGAAACGTTCCGGATTTCCGATTGACAATGTTTATAAAACACAATGGCTGCGGCCATTTCTACCAGGCCAGAAGGTTCTTAGCTCATCTGAGGAATTTCTAAGCCATATTGACACCAGCTTAGCTCGAGTATGCAATGATCCGGCTTGGGTGGTGCACCAATGCTTGACACGATTGCCCAAGGCCGAATGGATCTCGTCAGAATGGCATTCAATTGACGTACTGCACTGTGTTCGACACATGCTGGAACTCGGGTTAGAGCGATTGAACTCAGCTGGTTTGGACAGCTCTGTAGCCAAGCACAGGATTCAAACTCGTCTACTCAATCTTTATTTGAGCCACATTTCGCTCTTCG